GCGTCGTGTTGAATACCCTGACTAGCGAATTTGTCATCATTGACAATCCATTTCCAAACGAAGATCCAGTGTACGGAGTGCACATGACGAATCAATTCTTCTTCGTCTATGGTAAATTAGGCTGGTGCAGGTTCGATTTGCGAGGGAACTTGATGGATACCCACACCAATCCAGAGGATTCTAACAAGTGGCCAATTCTATGTGAGTGAGACAAAACCTTGCCATTCCATCGAAGATTCGTGAAACAATAAGTCTGAAAAAATGTACGTTTCCTGAGTAGGCGTGGAGCACACGAGTTTAGATAATTATATAATAGTGTTCTGGTCTGGTAACATAGAAGATACCGGTATGCTGTTGCACACATATAGAAAGAAGGGATCACTGGATCCCTTGCATTTCCACAGGTGAATTACCATTTCAATCATTCCTATTCTCTTTCCATCAGCTTTGATACCTTTCCCTTGATGTCATATTGCAGCGTCATGGTAATGACCAGTGACAAACAAACCCTATACGTCTGCACTACCAAAGACGACTATCGGGTCACGAAGTACATCAGTGACGAAACGTCCTCCGAATGGGAGAAAGCTTTCGATATGCCCAGAGCTTACAACGATGACGTCGAGTACTTGTTGCAATTGAAACTGGACAGGGAAGAGGAGATGCTTCTAGCCACGTGTGCCAATGGTTTCGTTGTCTGGTTCTTAGAGAGTAAGAGCGATGCATACGTCTTAATGTTGCCCAATGGGGTTCGAAACATCAGCACGAAGATGATGTGCTCCAATTCGATCATGGTCAGTGGCACTAAGAATTACGCTGTTGCTGGTGTAAGGTGTGTCTTATGGTGAATTAAACAATCAGATCTAAAAAGAAAAAAAAGAAAAAAAGAAAAAGAACAAAAAGAAATGGAGTGAAAATTACCCTTTCCACAGGAAGAACTTATACGTTTGGAAATTGGAAACAACCGAGTTGGTGAAGATACTGGATGCCCACTTTGCGAGGATCATTCAGTTGGAGGCATTGACTATCGGTAACTGGAATAGCGTGGTAACATCGAGTATCGACAGAAGCGTCAAAGTATGGAATATAAATAATATCTTTGAGCAAGTCCATGTAATAGACAGGCACGAGTTGCAGATCGATATGATAAGGTATTGGTTCCTATCGATCTTCCGATATTCATCTGTATCTTTACTGACGTTGGCTTTTTTGCGTTCTAAGCTTGGCAGAGGAATGCAATTTGGCGGTAACTGTGACGAGAGACTGTGTTGGAATTTGGGACTTACAAACCGGTAGACTGATCTCAAAGTTGGCCGACAGTCCTTTGGGAGCAATTGTCACCCACGCTTGTATAACTCATGATGGAAAGTCAGTAATTGGACTAATATCGTACACGTGTTCCGACTGATCCATTAAATGGGATATGTCTTCCACCTTAGATATATCGTCTCGACGGAGTCAGGTAATGTATTGATATGGAACAGGATCACGGAACAGGTGTTGTTCAAAGAGGAACAACAGCACGTGAGACAACTGACGTTGGTCGAAAATTCGTCTAAATTCATAACCGTTTCGAGGCCCAAAAACCCCGCTGGGGTAGAAAGCATGAAGACCACTGCTACACTTTTCATGAGATCTATTCCTGGTATATCGATAATTAATAAATTTAGAATTGCTTATTGGTATTAATGATCGTTAATCATAATCGACAGATAGGAAAACATCGTTTACATTGGAATACTTGGTCAGAAGTCACACTGGTACGCCATTTCGAAATGTTGTGATGACTTCTGACAATTCTTTCCTGATTGCTCCAGCAGCTGATAAGGGTAACAGGGATTGCGTTATCATTTATAATGCAAATACGGGAACGTTAATAAGTAAAATTCCAGTAAAATTACCGGGGTTTAAAGTAAGAATATTATTTTAAAAAATATTTTTATTTGAAAAAATATAATTTTTTTTTTATAAAATAAATAATATATAATTTTTTTCTTTTTTTGGGGGGTAGAATAAGTAGCTTTCTATATTTTATACTATTTTAATAGGATATTTTATGTATCACTCCTATGCCGAATAAACCACATTGGATAGGAATTATTGGGTCTGATAAGGGTACCATTTTGGATATAAATAAAAAGAAGATTGTCCGTACAATCCCCAAATGGAGTGGAAATATCAGTAAAGATGGAAAATATACTTTATATGCACCCAGCAGGTAGTTTCTATTTAATGTAATTTTTCCTAAACGAAAATTTTAATAATTTCAATGTTATAGAGGTGGTTTAGAACTTTTGGAATTAAAGAAAGGTACCACTGTAAAGATCTATATTCCAAAGGTAGCAGAGGGTGTTTTTACTGTAATATCTATGTTTAACCGCACCGATGAATATGTCCTTTATTATCATAGTGGAAGAAAAACTATACGTGTATTTAGGTAAATAGATATGAAACTAAGTTTTAAAAATTTGCAAATTTCTTTTATATATTTAATTCATAGATCATCAGATTGTGAGATCATAGCAAATTATAGAGTTCAAGCAGAACTGAGTGCCATCGATAGCACTTATGATGGCAAAAGCATAGTGCTAGGAACGGTTGATGGTTGTGTATCTGTTTTAGCTATAGCAGATCCCAAAAAAGAAAATATGAAAGAATATGTTGCAAACTTACCATCGCGTGATGAAGATGTAAGTAAATAACTGCAAATGTTATCACACTAGTAAACAAACAAAACGTGTTTTCAAAGAAATTGTAGAAACTGCACATAGAGGAGAATAATTTGTGTCCCCCATTGATTTTATTTTGTACCCTTTTATTGATAATTTTTTAAGAATATTGCTATCTAAATTATTTGTTACAGAATTTATTTATTTTATCACTGATTTGTCAACTTTAGAAATAGGTTAGGGTAAACATTTGCCGCATCGGTCACTAAGATCGTTTAAAAGTTACTATTGAGCTTTATAAATCTGTTGAGTTAAATAAATAACTTTAACAGAACATAGAACACTTTGCAACACTTATTTACAACTGATTTTATCAAAATTTCGCTTATTACAATGTCCCGCTCAAAAACAAAATTAGTCGTAAATCTCATGTATTGGCCTGTATACTATTTTATGAAATTTAAAATGTGTGCAATTTTCGATAAAAGTGATCAGAATTATTTTATTTCACTTGATTACGAAAAATAGAAAATTACACATAGAACACGCGTATAGTGCAACAAACTCAAAACGCTCACTCAAAACACTCAACCACGATGTCCTCTGTCTCTCTCACTCTCATGTTTTCTTACCTTGGGAAAGAGAGAGCATCAAATCTAGTTACTTTTTATATACCAATAGAATTTGAAAAAGTACTATTATAAATGTTTTATTTCATTAGTAATGAACGGAATCAAAATTAACGGAAAGATATATCGATGATGCATTTGTAGTTTATCTTTTACACATTTTATTTCATTTTACAGCAAAAAGAAATTATATTTGCTTTTTTAAAATTATTAACTTAGTAAATATTATTTGTAAAGCCTACATGTAAATAAAATCAAATATGTAGAAAATTAGTTCAACAGTTGGTGCTACAACAGGTAGATAAATGGTTTTTTCGAATTATTAAAATGTTTTATGCAGTTTCTACATTTTTTTAGACATGAAGAACTTCATAATGTATATTTTACTTGGAACGTACAAAGAGGTACCTTATATTTTTGTAATAAACTAATAATATATGATTTAATGTCATTTCAGTGGAAAAGAAAAACTGAAAAGCAACGAGTGGCTATTAAATTTAAAGCCGCTGCTCGAATTGCACGTGTAACGCATGATTTAAGTACAATTATACGAAATACAAATATTGCAGAAACGATTGAAGAATTAGATGAAAATGTAGAATAAAGATTACATTATTTTTATAGAAAATTTTTTTATTACAGGGATATAGTATAATGTAGGGTGATAGTGTATGCTTTTCCAGTAGAAATATCGATCAAGGAATAATAAATGTAAAACATTAATAATAGAATTTATATTACATTTATTTGTGTCTTTTTATGTAATTTTTATAATCTTTCTTTCCTTTCTTCTGTCATATTTTCTTCGCGATCGAAAGTAAAGGGCACGAGATGAATTCTGTAATTTATCATTGTAAATGAAATTACTTCTAACTTTATTATTAGAAGAATAGGTTGCCCTTGCATAAATCAAGGCTGATGTTTTTTTTTAAATAACAATTTTATAGCTTGCTCTATGCAAGGAGAACCTTCTTTCATCTTACAATATTGTATTGTGACTGAAGACATCTCGTGCCGACGCAAGCGCGAACAGGTGTAGTGTTTACGTTTTCCTTCTCCTTTTTTCGTTTACAAATTCCAAGAGATCGACAGTATTATAAGAGCGTATTAAAAAAAGGTATTACAATCAGCGAGTGAACGTAAGATTTTAACCAGTATCGAAGTCGGATAGTTCGCGTATGAAAATTTTCGTTGATCATTTGTTATTTTTCCACTTGCGGTAGTAGTTAAAAATATATTGAACCGTTTCATACGGGCTTAAATCATACCACGATGACCGATTTGTTTTTCTTTTTTTTTTTTTAAAAAGTTGATATTCGTATGGCAATCGAATCATACTACCATCATGTACATCAATAATCTGTAAACAACTATTAAACGTATTTTGTAACAATGTTAAACTAAACTAAAACACACCTGCATCAGAGCACATGTATGAACAATAGTTCCAGCAGAACCTAAAGTTGTATGGCAGCTTGTTAGATAAAATAAACAGCATCCTTTGTCAGAGACTATGCTCTTTGCTAAAACTGGAGTACGGTGTGTTTTATTGATTTACAAAATGCTGCTCATACGATATTATTAATGCGTTTGGTACTCATTTAAAATTCCGGTAATTGATTAGCACTTGATTTCCATGAAGTGCTTTTGTATTCAAATAAATTTGAACTTAATCTATGATGCTGGTTTTCTTGATAGGCTTATGTAGTAGTTCTGCAGTGGCTTTTTTGTTTCTTAGTATCTTGTTTCTTGTATCATCATTTCCTACTTTTCCTCAAAGACTGGAACTTCTGTGAAAGCATGGTAGCTTTATTTGTGGTATAGTGCCTTTTTGAAATTTTATTGCATCGCACCTCCTTTCTGTTTTTGTGGTGGTTGCGGTTCCCGCTGTTGTTGTGCCTGTTGCAATGCTTCAGTATCTTTAATGTGTTTTTCAACCTATAGAATAAGTAAAAGATACGTCTTACAATGTAATATCACATTCTACCTTTTCAAGACACTTACCACTTTCTTTACATGTTTATATGCTCCAGACTCCGCATTTCCATGCACATTGTCAACTTTATATGGTGGTCTAATTGTAACATTATCAAATACAACAATATTTGCTCCATTCCACGTAATTTCTGGTATAGTCTTTGATATAGTACTGAAGAGTTTTTGTCCCTCTGGAGATACTCCGGCCTGCAGAGCCATTACCAGCTTTTTCTTCTCTTCAATTTGATTACGTACTCTTCTGTTCAACTTTTGCAAATTAAGGCTTTGTGGTGGTTCACTAGTCGTAGGGCTAACTTCCCGTTTTACTTGGACCTCTGATACCAAGGATAAATTTACTATGTGTACATCGTTTAATGTTGGTGCTCCGCTGGACGACGGACATTCTGATTGACATCAGTTAAGGAATTATTGTTACCACGAAATGTGAAAGTTAATATAGTTTTATTCAAGGTATTTCTCTTACAGGAGGTTTAACTACAAAACAAACTCTCCAGGTTATCAGCATAGGTTTCTAATTTTCTTAGTAGACTGAAAATATTTCTGTTTAGGGGTCTTAAGAGAAATGAAAGTGAAAGATTTCATGTGATGCGTGAAAATACGTTTAAGAATGGACAAGCAGAGCAATAAAAAGCAACGGAAAATCCAGCATGGTTGATTGAATGACGAAACTAACCTGACTTCGTGTAGCTGGTTAGATGATGATCAAATAATTGACAAGCGGTATTGTACATTTCCCATGTGAAATCGCGAAACATAGCTTAGTGATCATTCACTAAAATTTACGAAACTTATCATAGATAGCTTTAAAGTTATTTACATTGCGGCAATGTTAAACGAGCGACGGATGAGTACTGCTTACATGTAATTTTCAGGAAGAACGATGCTTTGAAGGAATTTACAAGAAAAGGATACTTAGGATTAGCATTTTAGTTTGTGGATCGAATGCTAGCACCTCGCCTTCGATCTCCTCCTTGTAACAGGTTTTACAGGCCACCGTACTCCCGATGCTGAAACAATCGTTGGCGCCGGCCATTTTTCACTACGAACTTAGAACCGCGGACTCCCTATCGCCATCTGTTCTGATTTCAAATGTCCCTCGAAATTTGTATAATTTGCGCCATTTCTTCTGTGGCTAGCAATACGAATTGTTCCAGAAAGAAATTAATGTTATTTGAAAACAAAAGAGACATGTTATTAGTGTGTCACGGAACATAAAATTTACTATAGTGATCAGAAACGAGGTGAGAAGTTTTAGAAAAGTAATTTACTTCTTTAAGAACACATGGTTAAAATTAAGGCATTGTATGTTATCGCGGTAAAAAAATAAAACGTTACCACACGTTTTTATTCGAATTTTTCTTTTAAATTGAGCTTCAGGACGATTCTATAATAGATACAAGAAAAAAGAAGTATCTATTTTTTAACATAATGAAAAATTTTTAGGTAATTTGATAATAGTGATAAACGTAATATTTTCAGTTTCAGTTTACTAAAATACTACAATATGAATAAAATGTTGAAATTATTTGTCAAAGAAATAGGAAGTGTATTCTGTATCTTTTTAACTTTAAAATTTTATACGATATTTAATATATTAGATATATTCACTGAAAAAAGGTTAACAAAATCCAATATTGATAACAATATTAAATTTTGTTATGGGAATGATATTTGGAGATAAAATCATTACTATCTTCAAAATTATAAATATTATTTTAAAGATAATCGTTATTTTCGAATAATAATGTTTTTTATTTTTTCATATCTCATTTCTTATTTTCAGATTGTACGGGATTTTGTTCGAGAGTTACGAAAAACATCGGTTCCTTTCGTTTGGCATTCGTAAACTTTCGGTTACATTCGGATTAGATCGGGGGCAATCGGCTTGGCGGGTAGTTTCGTGGTCGCGTGGCTTCGTTCGGCTTTCAGTTTATAGATACTGCTCTGTGAAGAAGCATCGTGGCGTGGTTGTCATCGAGTTTCAATTTTTTTTTATTGTGCTTCTTGAACAATAAGTGGCATAATCAGTGAATAGTTTGAAGCTGTGGCATCAATCATCAAGCAGCGTGCAATATGATACTGCGCCATTCATCTACCTTTTCCACAGTTTCATCGAAGAATTTCTTAAGGTAAGCGACACGTATTTTCGATTGTGATATATGTCACGTAGTCACCTAATATACTATTAGTAACATATAACTGAAATATTATTATTATATCGATAACAAATACGTCTAAATTTGCGAATAAAATTTCTAATTTCCAATATGCGCATTAAGAATTTATTCTAACAGAATACTGTTGGCATATTCGTAACCGTTATTGGCTGTGTATAAGGTGAAGGTCAATGTCATTCCGCGATGTTTTTCGTTTCGAAGATTTCGAATCCGAAAGTATGATCAAGGTTTCGTTTGCGGAAATATATCGAAATAGGGTAACTTTTCGTGTAGCTTAGTTTGCTATATATAATGGAATATCAGTTGACTGACGTTTATTGGGAGAAAGCTTCCCGGCAAATCCAATGTCACGATGTCGTATAGAAGTTAATGTCTACGACGGATAACACGTGTGAAATTCGATATATAATATTAGTTGAGATTTCTATCTTAATAACGTGATATTACTCAGTGATCGTCACATTAAGGGTTTACGATTCTTATTTTAAGGCTAATTATTCCTAAAATCGAAGTATTTAACACGGAACTAGCATTTCTTTTTCGATATTTTATTTTCACGCCATGGCGCGATAGAAACTTCGCGAAGGCACGTGAGCCGCCTGGCGTTCCCGGAAACTCGATCTCGTCCTGAAAACATCTTTTTTTTTTTTTTTTTTTGAGGGTGTAACGGTCGAGGCGTAGTTCGCCAGTAACAATACAAAAACAGGGCAGCTCTTCACATATCTGGCATTGGACTTACACTTGTGCGTACTATCCTACAAATGTAAATATAATAGCGTGATGTGGATTCGTGGAACTTCGAATAGAAGAAATAATACAGATAAGGAAGACTTCCTGGTTCAATAAATCTTGGACGATCATTACAATATACCATATCCCGATTCCATTTTATTCTACAAGCAACCAGAAGACAATGTAACGTATTATTTTTAAAAATATATATATTTATAAATTTCAAATTATATACTATATATTTAAAATATTTAGTTTATTTTATTCTTATTAAATATATATAAATATATATATTTTTTATACTTTTAGAAATTTTTGTATATTCTTTTTTTTTGTGGGATTCTTTTTATATTTTCTTTTACTTTTAGTAGGCTCTCTTTGTATTTTTTTCTTTTTATACTCTTTAGTTTTACGATTCAGTATTGCCTCAAAGGCTCGCTCGCTTCCTTATAAATACCACTAACTTTTGCTGGTCGTATGAGACACGAGGGAATTATAGTTTCGTGCAAGTTGAAAATGAATTCATCGAAAGTCAAGAACATCGTATACGCAGCATTTGCATTCTGATTGCCTTTAGAAATTGTTGTTTCCTTTTGGAAAACTCGAAAACTCGATTGCTATCCGGCTAGGTGTGATTGAAATTGTTTCGGAGTTTTGCTTTCTGTCACAAACTTCGTGGCTCCCCTGTCTTTGTCGTTTAACCATATAGAATATAGTAATCGCGATGGAAAATCATCTCTTTCTATATTAATTTTTGCAAGTCGTTCGCAAATACACCTGTTCATGACTATTAAAACACTTGCTGGTCTCGTTCAGAACGTGGAAAACGATCCAGAATATTCTAAAAGCCATTAAGCAACCAAAACTATGCTCACGTGAAATAATGATCTGAAACTCTCGGTGGAAGTCCAACAAAGTAATTTCCAATAGTTGCAAATTATGTTGAATTTTATCACACATAAGCATTCAAATGTTCCTCCATTTCCTTCATAATTTCTCATTATTTTGCAAATAACTCAATGCTATTTAACGACATTGTATATTCCACTATTGAACTGAGAATTATGCCAATGATAATATAACAAATCAACTATCGCGATTAATTTGGTTATCGTCATCTACATATCTCGAATCTCATTGTTTCACGAATACTCCAATATAATTTAACGAAATCGTATATTCTATTACTGATCCAAGGATGAAGCGAATTCGACAAATTAGGTATCACGGAATATTTGATCACAGAATTAATTCAATCATTGTCGTCTACATATCTCGAGTGTTATCCTATATACATACACATACGCACGCGTTTTGGATAACATCTAACACCCGCATCTCATCCTCCGATCCTCCAGTTTGATTGGATCCTGAACTCTGAGAATTCGCCAGGTCCCCTACATAAGGTCATAAACATGGTTGGAGGAATATCCGGCGAACAATCGTGGTTACGTGGAATAGCTGACAAATGGGAAAATAATGCATATCGTGACGATGTGTAGCATCCCTGCAGGCATGTAAATCATTCGTCGTAGTTCTCATAAAATAGAATTCTGTTCGACGAGCGACAAATAAATCTGCCTGTTTTCCGCAAATGCTAGCTGCAGTTACCTCGAAATCTATATTTTATCGAGTATACACGGTGTTAATACAATGATAGGGAATTGCTTAATGAAAATATAGGCTATAGTATAAAAGATGAATCAGTTTTTAGATATGTTTGGTCTCTGGTGAATCAATCGAGCGCTTTCGTATCGAGAAATTCGTAGGAAATGGATTCGACCGGTTTGATTTCCAGGGGCATTGTTTTAAACTTTCGGCA